TTATCATTACTGAAAGTAGGCACCGAATGGCGGAAAATCATGAATGCTACCTAGCTTGTTGGGCTTACCTATTTTGTTGTGAGCCCAATTGAGAGATTATACACTAGGCTCGTTAAAAATCTGAGAAATTTTTCGTTGCCATCACGTAAAAGTTCGTAAAGAAGTGCACCGGAACACAATTCTCTGTTTTCGTGGGAATTTTGAATCATCACTCAGAGTGAGCACCAAAAGCGAAAAATTGCTTAATTTTGCGAATCAGGTTGAGCGCATAGAATTTTCAGCCTACTTCATTGGTCGAGGCTTTGTCAACAATTTGAGAATTTTTTGGTCGCCTTCCCGTGAGATTAATCAAAAAAATTTTGCCCGAGCACGCAATTGTGTCTGTCTAATCAGCTTCGTAGGCACATAACAGACGACAGCAAATCGTAAAGAAAACATAATTTGCGGAATCGCAATGAACCAACATCTCCCCCTCCAAAAAAAAAAACCCTGAGGCTCTCAAAAATGATGTTAAAACCATTCTTTTTCTGTGAGGTCCTCCGGAAAAGACATCAATTCAAGGGGAAAATCAGAAAATTTGAGTAAGTGGAAGATATTACCGCTCCTCGGGCGGCAGGGCGTAACTCAATTTCCTCGTGAGCTGCGGTTCACATATAAGTTCATGCTTTCTGGGGCTCATATAGAAACCGAGGTACACCCTAACGTCAAAGAAGCGACGCTATTAGCAACCCAAAAGTTGGTCAATACAACAGTGGTGACACATTGTAAATGGAGGTCATGCCTCTAAAGGACTTATCAATTGTCACTAGCCCAATATCAAAAAACAGCAACGGCAACGGTCTAGCCAGAGATTTGGAATTGGATGAAGATGGAGTTTCCAATCGACATCCTCTCATCAGTCATTAGGGGATGAAAGTAATGTGTGAACAATGTGAATGGCAACACGGCAGGCTCCTCGCCGATACCCTTCGCAGTTCGCACCGCGGCAAGGCTCCATTCAGCCTGTCTCGCTTCCCGTTCCCGGAACTGCTCCTTGCACCGGGGTAACTAAAGTATAAGCTCAAGGAAAATTTTTTGTTTCTCATTTACTGGGATTAACTTTTCTCAATGTATTCGGATTCTGCATAAAATTTCAATCAAAGTGATATAAAAAAAAATCCAAAAAGTCAATTATTCACCCAGGAGAATTATGTTTGGTATTCTGAATATTTATGAAGAGAGCAAATCAATTAATTATCAGAGCTAAAGCTGCCATTTTTTTTGTCCTGCCACCACAACGCCTAAAGTGGATCCAAGTCTGGGAGACGATATGGCTTGAGGAAGTGAGTGTATTGTTGGATTGGGAAAGGTACCAGCAAGGAGCTATTTTGGATTACCGGAGAGAGCAGTTAGTCCAAATGTTGAATGTTATCAAGGAAATGGGCCTAGTGCTGTTTAAACGGAACATTTCATTTAATGAGCCCACCATTTTCGTAAAATTCGCAATGATGATCAGAAAGTCTATTATGTCTATGTATAGAAAAAATGAACCACGGTGAATAGAAATGGTTTACCAAAGGGTTTGTCATGTCGCAGTTTTTCAATTTTTCTCAGTTTTAAATGCAACTTTGAAAGCTGGTCGAGTGTATTTCGTGATTATACTACGGTTTTAGGGGTGCACGTATACCAGGAAATTGTTGAGCTATTTAATGTTTTTACCTCAGTGTTCCGCGGTTATCAACATCCATAATGTAGGGAGGAACCCAGTAGATGTTCAACGCTCCCGTGCGTGGAAAAAAAACGGTTATTAATTCCGCATAGCACTTACGGCTTTCTTGCCTAAAACTAGCCGAATATGAAAATAAATAATACCCTATTATTATGAATTTGAAATAAAATAGGTCAATTTTTAATCATCCAAACAATTTCTGGGAGTCTTTCGGACGATTAGTGATATTTGAGAAAGAACGGAGGCCTCTTTCAGTACACTTTTCTGGTCAGACGCTTCTGAGCCCGTTCTATCAAAATTTCATGTTTGCAGTCACTATCTCTTCGATATTAGGTACGGTAGAATACCAGAGGGTCCGCCTTTCGCCTGCTCTGCGGTCAAACGTACGGGGATTAGTGTCTAATGTGAAGTATCGAGAAATCATGAAGAAACGTAATGCAACAAACAAATCGAAAGCACAATGGTATGCGGTTAAGCGAAGAAGATTGAACAATTGGACTATATTTTCAGATTTTTTTTATTTCTTTTTTCTCTTTTGGAACTAACATTTTAGGCTCTCGTCATATCCAAGTGAAGTGGTATAAGTATAATTCCAATCCCTCTCCACATCAAAAAATTAATTAAAGTAACTCGATTTTCAGTTTTTTTTCCTCAAATTCATTTCCTTTACTCTCTTTGGATTGGAAATATCCGAGAATACCCCGTGTCCTAACTTCCTGAGGGCTTTTCAGTTAATAAAGAAAACTCATCACAAATAAAATGACGGTACATAAACTAACTGAGATCCCTTTCCGAAATATACCCTCTTTATTTGAATATTGCGGGGAGCATATCTTAATCGATGAATATACTTATGTACGAAGTTGGGTTCAAACCAAACATGCAACTGCTTTAACTCTGCGGAGTGCCGGGTTGCATACGCTTGATTTTGCTGGCGAAATCTAAGATCTGCCCAGGCTTTCGCGATAAAGTTGCGAATGGGGGAAGTTGCATTTATTCTTTACACCCTCCTATTTTAACTAAATTAGGGAAAATTTAAATTTTTAGTTCTTTTACGTGTAAAAAAATCAGGTTATCTGGTATGGTCATATTTAACGAATGGCGGATGAAAGACTGCCTGAGGAGGTACTGAAATGGTTTCCTCTTGGAAGGAAACGTATAGGAGACGCCCAGCAAAATCTTGGATTGGTGGCATTCAAAATGAAATTACGAGGATCTATTTACCAGATAACCTCTGTTCCGATAGACAAGGATGGCGATTAGGTGTAGCAAAGCGCCCGCCGGGAGCACTGTAAAAGCGACGGGTAAATAACATAAAAAAATACGTCATGATCATTGATCATTGATATTATGGTCGAATCAATTGAAAGCATTTTTTTGTAGATTGACTAATTAGGAATCAAAACATTTGTTTAAAATAAAACAATGTAATGTTGTCTAATAATATTAAAGCAATTTTTTTTTTTTTAATTGAATAAGCCTCAAGATATTCAATATCCGTTCCCTGCGGTAAACCCGTTTCACGATCGTGAATTTTTATGACACATAATAATTGTAAGGAGCCTATTGTGTAAAATATATGAAAGAAATGAGCGAGCATAAACAGTTAAGGTTTGAGAGGGAATAGCGAAGTATAGAAAAAGTAGATGTTATTGCTCTCATGCATCATTTCAGTCGGACGGACGAAAATGAAACACGAGAGGACGCGGCCAAACCAGAGCCACCATCCCGTGCCTGGACAAGGCTTTGAAATCGCGGAGGTTGAGAGAATTGTCGCCGACCGTTGAATCAACTCGAAATCACTGATTCTGAGCGAACTATCCGGCCGTGGATAGTTAACTCAAGATTTCACTTTCATCGGAGAAGAGACCGATCCGAGGTCCTGATTTTAACCGCATGCGTTTCACATCCCCTCGCGCCTCCGAAGGGGTTGACAGCGCGGTACGCGTTCCGATCCCCGTCCAGATTTCAATACCGAGGGAATTCCCGGTACAGTTGCCTCTTGATACCTGAGGCCGAGGCAACTCGGATATGAGCTATTGTGGTCTCTGCCCCCCGGGCACCCCTGTGACGGTAATTTTTCCGTCACTTAAGTTTCGAATAAGTAATCACCTAGGAAATTTTGTTTAATTTTAAACTGTGCCCAGATTTAATCATATGTAAAAATTTCGATGGCTACAGCTGTAGCAAGTGATTGCGACAGTAGCGCATTCTGTAGGAACGGCGAAGTACCGCAGTACACCGGTCGGCCGCGCGCCACTCGAGCGCTCTCGCGGAGCGATTTGGAACCTCTTGTACCCGACTACCCAGCTGTTTAGCGTGTGCACGGTGGCTCAGTCGCTCAGACTTCTGAGAAAAAAGTCGGTTATTTATTATTTCAGCTTAATTAATTATTTGTTTTCACCAAATTTACCAAAGAAAGTCGCGAAGGTAATCGAAACAAGTAGTTTGATGTAAGAAAAAAATTATTTACCTGTATATTTAATTTATTGGAGTCGAATGAAGTTGGTCGACGCTAACGAAAGCTAGATGAAATGGATTTGATGGGGTCCCGACCGGTACATCACCGCAGTCATCCGATCAAGTCCATAGAGTACAATACAGTCGCAATGTACTGGAGCGCCGATGAAGTCAATCCATTAACGGACCTTTCCGAAATTCCGAGCCGCTTGTGCTCCGAAAAGTGTGAACCAAGTGTGACCCAACGGCACTTACTAGCATGGTGGCTTGCGGAGAAATCAAGAACTGCTTGTGTTTTTTCGACATTTTTAATTCAATCAGCATTAATTTTTGCAAATTTTGCTATTAATAGGTCGTCAAAGCCATAGTGAATCCATTAATGTATCATACTCCTGAATAATATTCAAAAAGGAACGTAAATTAAGACTTAACCCAAATGTGAACCGACAGACATTTCATATCACGGCGGTTTACGGGAAAAGCAACGACTGCTTGTGTTTTTTCGAAATTTTTTAATTCAATCGATATTAATTTGTGCAAATTTTGCCATGATTAGATAGTCAAAGCCATAATGAATCCATTCATGTATGTTACTCCTGGATTTTATTCATACAGGGATTTAATTTCTGACTTATGCAAAGTGTGAACCAATCGGCATTTTTTAACACGGTGGCTTATGGAGAAATCAACGACTGCTTGTGTTTTTTCGACTTTTTTAATTCCATCTATATTAATTTGTGCAAATTTTGCTTTAAATAGATATTCAAAGCCATAATGAATCCATTAATGTATGTTACTCCTGGATAATATTCATATATGGACTCAATTTCAGACTTATTACCGGCCTACTTAGCCGATTCAATGTGTGTGGACCTAGCCGACGAACGGAGCCGAGTCGGGAGTGGGGAGCGCCGAGCGCGAGTCTCTGCATATGCGTTGCATATGCGTCATCGCTAGTTGCCGCACACTAGTCCCCGGAGAACTGGACAAAACAGCCTCGAAAAGTGACTTCATCGGCGATCCAGTACTTTGCGACTCTATTGTACTCTATGATCAAGACGAGTTAAATGCGTTTGTCTTCTCCTTCTTCGGATCCTTTCTATTGCAGAGCTGTGCACGTGATGAGTAGCACGCTTGCAATAGAAAGCACTGATTTCTCGTGTATTTATTTACTTGTGTGACGCATCCATTTACGGGTAGCTCCTATAGTAAATATTTACATGAGTTTTTAATTTATTTACTTCGGAATTTATTTTTTAGTTAAATTTAATTTTAGTACCTTCAAAAATAAAGCTCTCGTAATTATTGATCAATTTCCAAGTGTGCACGTGTTGAGTAGCACCTGGGATTTTGGTTGTTATTTGAATTTATTTTGAACCTTAAATCCGCCATACAAGATTGAGTGCACGTGGTGAGTAGCACCGGTTGTCTGGGAGATTTATGGTCAAATAAATAATCAAAAGGAAAATTCATTCATTCATTTTTAAGGTCTCTTTTACCGTTCCTTTCAAAGTAATTTGAAAGTCAATCCGATCAACTCATTCGTCTTCAACCATCCTAATTCTGATCTCGCATTTAGTTTATCTATTGTTTTGAAAATTTTAAGTTTGTAATTGTGTTAAAGAAATAGTTTTCTTTTCTCGTCAATAAAATTGACTCTAGTATGTTCAAATTCGCTCTCATTATTCCTTCCTGCCAATCCTGTCCTCACATCAGGAAAATCACCTCCTTATATTTTTGATTACGCACTTCAAGTGTGTTGGCGCCCGAACTCAGGTGTCCCAACGAGCATCTGGCACCCGAAATTTGTGGCTTGATCTGCTGAAGCTCGATCCTTTCCGGAAGGCTTGCTTTCTGACGATCAGGATCGTACGAGTTCCCACTTTTCCTCGCCACAACCCCCCCCCCCCCACTCGAGAGCGGCCCACCTTTTTTGAAGGAAATTTCGTTCAAACCGCATGTCAATAATCTGTAATCGTTCTCGAGACATCAATAAGAAGGATCCATATTTTTGGCACACCCTGTGCGTCACAGAAAAAAACCGCAGGTCAATATTAAAATCGTGACCAAGTTGAGTCACTTGACGTAATGCCTAATTCTCATTGGCTACGCACGATAGAAACTACAGAAGCCAAGTACAGAAGCGATATATACATAGAGATTATGTCATTGTTTTGTTCGGATATTTTGGATCGGATTTGAGCAGAATATCATCGCAATTTCTCCAGGCTCCTTTCTCTTTCTTTGTCATATCATCTCTGAAATTAATAACGATATAAATTCTTGAATGCTTTTCTTATTGTACGCACGAAACGTTTTCAATTTTATGCTGCCCTGAGGAATAATGCTTCCAAATTAGACTATTCTTAATTTTGCATGAATCATGAATCGTGCATCTCTGTCTAGGTACCTTTTTGGTTGTGAGTTTGCCTATTTGTTTTCCTTTATGATTCTCTGATTACTGAGGGAACGGTGTGCCTGAAACGAAAAGATGCTACTTACTTTGTTTACTATGTGCATTCCTATCCAGACAACATATGAAATCATCTTGGTACTTACGTTAAATCTTTCCGTTCATAAGGAGATGGTGTACAATTTTAGTTGTGATGACATAAATTTTCTCAACTGCATGCTGATTATTGAAACTGTGTCAGTACGACAAGGCAAGACAGTCCTATCTTAGCCGTGCAATATATCGCATTTCGATCTCTCATCAGACTGCTTCAAACTTTCAATAATCGGCCTGCTGCAATGAGACCCTTTGATAACTTTCATCATTAGGATTCTCCATTTGCTTATTCCGGTCAACTAGAGTCCACACCGACCGCTTGATTTTATACGCGCAACAGGGCGAAAGGGAGAGTGCAATTTTAATTACTGATGGGTTTACTTCCAAAGATAAAATTAACCAGTCTATTTTCTGTCACACCTTCAAAGTGGGTGAATGTATCGGGCGAGAACCCTGATAATCAACAACTTGGGAGCCGCCTTCAATATAGGACTTTTATCGACGGTGTAAGTCTGCAATCACATAACTCGAAAAACGCGAAATTTCAGGAGCCCTAGTAGCCAAAATAGGATTGTCGAATAGGTATTGTTATATCGGAAAAACTAAGGATGATGGAAAAGAGAAGTGCACGAGTTGCGTGACATAACGACAGAGTATATTGATAAAGATACAAGCTTGCCCAGTAGGCCTGACACCTAAGTAGCGACAATATCACTACTCATACATACTACCAACTGCTACATAACAGTCTCCCTGCCCATTTTAAAATCTGAGGGATTTTAAAAGGAAAACATACAAGCAAGATTTAAGGTCTGATTTAAAATGTACAAGAAAAACATACAGAGAGAATGGATTTACAATTTTCAAGAGCTGTAAGGGCAGGAGATGGGTTAGAGTATTTATACCTTTTAAACAATAAAATTTCAATAGAGTGAACTAATACAGACAGATTAGTATGTATTGATAGATTAAGGAGGAGTATACCGATCTGGAGGTTTGGAAGGTCTGATAGATTTTCTAATTATTGCCCTCCCTCTACCTAATGAGGGGGGTCGAGATACACTAGATAGTGGGGTACGATTTGTACTTTTAGGCGGTGATTCATCTAAAGTAGTAACAACTGCTGTTTCATCTGGAGTAAAAAATGTTTCGGGAGATTTGACATTAAGAGGTCTTGCTTGACTGGTTGGAGTGACTAGAGCTTTGTTAGATTGTTGTAGAGAGATTGGAGATTGTTGCTTGGGCGGAGACCGATCATTACTTGGTTGACTTTGAACTTGCGGAGAGCTTCGGCTTGTTTGATATTCTGAAGTATGTTGAGATTGTGCGGACTTACATGCTTGAGTGCCTTGTTGTTGAGAAGAGTTCTGAGACGTTTGTGAGTTTGTTGGTAGAGAAGATTGTTTTGTTGGTACTGGAGTTCGGATGATTTGTAGAGGAGGCTGTTGGCGAGGAGAGCTACCACTGAAGTTTGAACGCTGTTTGGTAGGAGATTCTTTGTTACAACTTGAATTTCATCAAGAAATCTTATTCGACGAGGTTGTACTGAGGAGGTAGAGTTGGAGTGAAAAGGTAGAAGTTGGTCGATGTGACGTTTATGTTGAGTGCCTTGATGATCAACATAATAATGAAGTTTGCCTAGTTAAACTGCGATTGTACCCTTTCACCACTTGATTTTTGAATTATATGTTCGAAAAAGAACCGTATCTCCAGCTTGGAAAGAACGAAGAGAACCTTTTGGAGAGGCTTGACTGGAAACAGACGGATTCTTGAGGTCTATTGAGGAGGAGCATTCTTCGAGATTTTCCTCTGTAGGACTTAAGTGAGATTCAGAGAGTGGTGAGATGATGTCAAGTTTTGTTCTTACGATTCTGTTTATGAAAAGAGATGATGGAGGAACTTTAGTGGTTTGATGAGGAGCACGATGATAGTGCATTAAAAATTTGTTTAAGCAGAGCCGAAGTGTCTTTGGAGTAGCATTCATAGCTCTGAGAGCTTGTTTCACTGATTGCACATATCGTTCTGCTTGTCCGTTTGTACTTGGGTGGTACGGAGCGATTCTTCTGTGGAATCTAACCCCTTGATCGGTGAGGAAGGATCGGAACTCAGCGGAAGTGAATTGAGGACCATTATCCGTTACAAGTATGTCTGGAATTCCAAATTCTGCGTAGGAATCAAACAACAGTTCAGAAGTTTTTTCACTAGTTGTAGAGCTTGTGATGAAGATTTTTGTCCATTTTGAAAATGCGTCAACAACAATTAGAAGAAATTTGCCAAAAATTGGTCCAGCATAATCAGCATGAACACGTTCCCAAGGTTTTTTTGGATATTCCCAAACATAATTATTGCATTTGGGTGGCATTCTTGAATTCTCGAGGCATGGAATACAAGATTTTGCAATACTTTCGATGTCTTTGTCGATGTTAGGCCAGTGATGGAGCGGGCAATGCCTTTCATTTTGGTGATTCCTAAGTGGGCGAGATGCAGTTCATCCAATAATTTCTGACGAAATTTTCGAGGAATGACAACCTTATGTCCGAGCATTAAGCATCCTTGAACAATAGATCATTCCAGCTGATTCCCTTTGAACCCAAGAGTTTTGAGGTCTTTACCTTGTTCAAGAGCTTGGAAGAGTGTAGACAACTCTGGGTCTTGTTGAGTTTCCAAAGCGATAGCTTCTGTGCTGAGGGGCAATTGATCAATTTGCGCCGATACAAAAGAGTGGAAGTGGTCTGGAAGATCATCAGTAGGATCATAGTTACCATTGACACTTCTAGAGAGGTAATCAGCGTTGGGATTCTGTTTTGAGGGTCTAAATTTGACATTATAAGTAAAGTTAACGAGATAACTGGCATAATTTGAGCATCGAGAAAAAGTAAATTTTGGCAATAATGAATCAGGAGCAAAGATGTGTGATAATGGTTCATTATCTGTGATAAGGGTGAACAAACGACCATAAATATAAAAAAAAAAACGTTTGATACCCCAGACGATAGCTAAGGCTTCTCTATCAAGCTGAACATAACGTTGTTGCGTTTCACTAAGACTTTTGCTTGTATAGGCAATTGGCCTTTCAGTGCCATTTGGCATGATGTGTGACAACACAGCACCGAGTCCCACTGGACTTGCATCAACTGCAAGCGTTAGCGGTAAACTGGGATCATAAGGTGTTAATACCTTGTCAGAAATGAGCTCACTTTTGAGATCTTCATAGGCAACCAAACCAGCTTTGGTCCATTCAAAATGAGAGGTTTGAAGCATTTGCCTTAGAGGATAAGTGCGTGTCGAGAGGTTATCAATAAAAGAATGATAGTACGTAACCTTGCCTAGAAATGTTCGAAGTTCTTCAGCAGACTCAGGTTTCTTTGCTTGAACTATAGCTTGAACATGTTTATCTAGCTTATGAATTCCTTCTCCATCCAACATGTGACCCAGAAATTCAATAAATGTGAGGAAGAATTGACATTTTTCGCGAGAGAGTATAATACCCGCCTCTCTCAGCTTCTGAAAAAGTTTGTCAAGAATTGCAAAGATTTCTTCAATTGAGGAACCAAATACTAATATATCATCAAAAAATTTGACACCTCCTTTGATACCTTTTAAAATTTGCTCCAGACGACGTTGCCAGGCAGCAGGGATATTAGAGACACCGTACTGCGCTCTTGTAGGCTGGAGTAACCCATGCGTTGGAGTGTTCAAAGTCATCGCTTCGCATACAGCCTGAGAGCACAGAAGATGCATGAATGCGTCATTAACATCCAGCTTGCAAAAGTAATTACGGTCACGAATTTTTGCAAAGAGTTCCTCCGGCCTGGGAATAGGATAGTCGTCAATTATTAGGTTAGGATTGAGAGTGGTTTTATAATCGCCCGTAATTCTCAGCTTGTTGTTTTTCACAACAACATGTGTGGGACTAGCCCGTTCAGAATGATCAACCACCTTATAGAATCCTGATTTGATTTTTTCATCAATTTGAGCAGCGTACTGATCTTGCATAGAATAGGGAAGCGGTCGAGCTCTACAGAATTGAGGTTTTGCACCTGGCTTGAAGTGAAAATCAAGAGGAGGTCCAGTGAGGGTACCTGCTTTATCCCCAAAAATATCTTTGTGTTTGTCGAGAAACTTGTTAAGGTTAATAGAGTCCATTTTATTTAGAGAATTGTGTGCACATACATTGTTAATATCAGTTTGATTGTGGAGGAGTTCATGAAGAGAGAGGAGATCTGCAAAAGGTTTAATCCATTGACGACCAAAAATGTTATCGCCAGGGATATCAGTGATGAATAATTTGAGGTACTCAGTACGATTCCTGAAAGTCACTTTAGCCCAAATGTAACCTATACAGTTGAACTTAGTTTGAGTGTAAGAGGTGAAACTTTCATTAATTTTAGTCATTCTGGCACGAGGAAATAATTTTTGGAGCGTGCTATGACTGATAAGGCTACAGGGACCACCTGTGTCGAGCTCCATACGGAGTGATTTACCATTGATGAGGACATCGAGCAAAATTGTTGGACTGCCGCCAGAGATCGATTTAAATTGATGTTGCAGATAATAAGTATCAGAATCGGGACGAAAATCATGAACTTTAGAATTATCAGAATTGTTTCTGGTATTATCATGAACTTCTTTACCATTAGCGTACTTTTTCTTCTTACATGCATTGACAATGTGACCTCGGATTTTACAGTAATTAGAGACAGCATTATTAAATTTACCTGTACTGCGGTTATGAGAACCTCCACAAGATAAACAAGAGTTTGTGTTCTTACTGTGAGAAGGATTGCGATGAGAATTCTTACTGAGAGAAGGGCTGCGGTGTGAGTTCTTACTGTGAGGATGACTGCGGCTCCGATAGTTTCCTGAGTTTTTCTTGAGTTTGGGTCTAGTTTCATGTGAAAACTTGCTGATAGTGGTTGAGTGTTGGACAGAAGTGGGCTTGAGGATGGCAGAGGCTTGAAAAGAAGATTTGAGGTTAGTCGCCACAGCGACAGCAGCATCGAAGTTGGCAGGTTGCTTCGTTACAATTTCCTCGCGGATGTCATCGATAAACAGGCCGTGGATGAACTGAATACTAAGCGAGTAATCTAGGAAGTCGCCAAACTCACAATATCGCGCACCGGTCTTGAGGAGAGACACAAAATCTGATATAGACTCATCAGCGTGCTGATGAATCTTCCGGAAGGTGATGGCTTCACTAAATTTGTTACGCGATTTGGCATAGTGAGAAATGAGCTTGTTTTTGAGTGATGCAAAGTCAAGCGAGCTAGGAAGGACAGGAAAACAAAGAGCATTTAATGATGCATTTAACTCGGGGCCCATGTGCACTCGAGCCTGGTTTGCCCATTGAGTTTTAGGCACATGGCATAAGTTCAATTTGAGTTCGAACCTGTCGAAGTAATCCTCTATATGTTCTTGAGACGTTGTGGAGAAAGCATCAAAAGAGAACCGGGAGGCGGATTGGACCGTCGGTGAAGATTGGGGAGCGGCAAGCTGCAGGACCAAGTCAGTTAATTGGGCGAGTTTAGCTTCGAGGCCTTGAGGTTGAGGAGGATCTGTTTCACCATCCGACATTATGCGATGCACACTTCACGGCACGGGGTCGAGCGATAGCGCGAGAAAAAAACGCGACCGTTAACGCAAAAACACGTTGCAGAGAGAGAGAGTTCCGAATTTTGAAGATCGGAAGAAATTAAACTCGTCGCCATTTGTTATACCTATCGGAAGAAATTAAGGATGACGGAAAAGAGAAGAGCACGAGTTGCGTGACATAACCATGGAGTGTATTGATAAAGATACAAGCTTGCCCAGCAGGCCTGACACCTAAGTAGCGACAATATCACTACCCATACACACTACCAACTGCTACATAACAGTCGTAATATAATTGGGAGAGCTGGCGTCACTTTTAAGCATTTCCTATGTCCCGAATTCCGAGACTCCTGTGTGACGCCGGGTCACTTTTTCGATACATAATCGATTGTTTGCGATACACGGGTACCCGGCCATCCGATGACAACAACAACAACAACGACAAAGGAGATAGGAATTACCACGTATTCCACACCGCCATTTTTGATCGAAAATGTATCGAAAAAGCGACCCGAACTCGGCGCACACCGAGCTCGGAATTCGTCGAGCAGAACATGGCGCCAGCTCTCCCATTTACATTACGACTCTATGTACTCTATGATTTTAGCCAATTGGTAGAGAGGTTATCATCAAGGATAGCCTGCATTAGTTAGCATCTCAATTTTATTAAACCAATGAAGTAAAGTAAGTAAAGTAGTACAGATACATACCTTCTGCAGAGGTCAATATGAAAGGTCTTTATTTGAAGAATTTTATCCCAACACAGGCAAATTATTCGATTCAATCAACTTCTGACACAAAATCCAAGAGACTTGCTAATAATCATGAGTTGCGGTAGCCACCACCGGGCAAGTAACCTATCCTCCAACAATTGGCAACACAGCACAGCCCGGTCGAGGCAACTAGAGTCCCTTTATACCCAGAGTTAAGACAACTCGATTATCAGCTAACTGGCAGCCGACCTTGGTTGGTCATGGAGGCCGAAACGAGTGCACCCAAACGAACGATATTGAGGGATAAGGATCAGGATTCCTGCGATGTCTGTCACACAAAAACAACAACATCAACAAATTGATCAATTGAAAAGAAAATGAGATTGGTTTGTGAATAATTTCTTAATCTATTTTCATTTTGGACTGATGGAAATAACAATTTACTCTTGATAAACCACAATTAGGTAATATTTTCATTATTCTTGTTCACATACGAGGTACCGCCATCTTGGTGCACTCGTTTCGGCCTCCATGAGCGAGAACCAATCAGAATTGGATTTTTTTTTTAGGCCACTTTCAGCCCAACCCTGGCCCAACCAAAAGTGAGTTGTCTTAACTCTGGGTATAAAGGGACTCTAGAGGCAACGACACCATAGTTACACGAACTTGGCTTTTTTGGGTTTTTAGTTGCGAGTTCAAAAGCTTTTCAAAGCAACGGAGCGACGGATTTCAGAAATTTTGGTGTCTAAAGATGCGTCTCGGTCCCGTCTAACGAACTGTTGAGTTTCAAGGAGGTTGATGATTTATTAAACGAGATAATTACGCATATCGACGGTGAAAGTCGGCAATCACATAACTCGGTTTGCGTAGAGTACCTGTATAGCGAGAGTATGGACAGATCGCTTCATGGAGGGCTTAGGGCCCAAAAGTGCAGCCACCCTTCTTTTTTTTTTTTTTTTTTTTTTTTTTTTTTTTTTTTTTTTTTTTTTTTTTTTTTTTTTTNTTTTTTTTTTTTTTTTTTTCTATTCAAATAGCCCTCAAGGGCTAATCCCACGCTTTAAGTCCCATCCCCCCTCCGTCCCTACTGAATCAGTCCCAGACAACCATTGTTTGAGACCATCAAACTCGAGTCGCCTGGCCGGGAATCGAACCCGGGACCTCCCGATCATAGAGCAAGCGCTACAACCACTACACCATAGGAGGCCGACAACCAACCTCTAACCAACTAACCAACTTCTAACGCACAAAATTTCACTGCCAGTCTGTAGATTCCAATTCTAACGAAGATGGCTAAGAAAGTACATAAATGAGCGTTCTTCCACAAAAGTGAGTAAATTTATGCAAAAACTAAGTCAAATACGTGCTTTATAAACGATGGTTCGTAACAGTTGTATTAATAAATCGCTCTGGATAATTGAAATTCATAGGTTGGCTGCATTTCTGGGCCCTCAAGGCCTCGATAGACGATCAAATTCCCGAACCAATTCCGATCAAAGTAGCATCAAAAAGTCGGGAGTCATCAGTCTTAAACTCATTAATATGGTCATTTTAAAATGAAAACTTGGCAGAAATGTTCCCTGTGGCCGGAAATGATGAATGGTGGCACTCGGTTCTGATCTTACTTTGAACAAAAAAGTGCAGCCCATCAAAATTTGATGGTAGATGGTGACCACCAGTCATCAGCATGTCTACTTTGATCGGAATTTGATCGTCTATGCAGGGCTTAACTTTATTCGCGGAGGCATCGGTGAAGGCCTGATGGATTTTCGGAGTTTCACATCTGTCTATACTCTCGCTATACAGGTACTCTAGGTTTGCGACGTCGCAGACTTCCTCTCCTACTTTATTTGTTACACGGAAAACTACTCAACGGTAATTCTTTAAGACTGCCGTGATTTTTCTTCTATGTGCGAGGAAAATTCTGCAAAAACTTCAAGGAATCACGTCCATTTGTTCTCCTTTAAAAAAATAACATAGTTGCTGAGATTTTCAGACACCGCAAACGAGTTATGTGATTGCCGACTTGCACCGTCGATATGTGCCTAAAATAGCGAAAAGTATCCACTTTCACCATTTTCACGTTCTATACAAGCTATAGAGAATACGAGACATCAGAGCCCTATATAATGTTATATCAAAAGAATTGTCTTGTTCCCGTGTAGTGTGCATTTTAGTTTCATTAATATCCAAGGCATCCTAAGAGAAATATTGCGTCTAAACTGCTTTTCGGGTGCAACGGGCGACCCGACCCGCCGACGCTTATCGTTGAATTTCTCGCTTACACTATTCTGGAATGAAGTTATGGTTGTTACCAGGAATCATCGTGAAGATATGAGGATTCCAAAAATTATACATAAGTTGGGGTTTGCTTTTACCGTTTAGGCTGTATCTTGGACAGTAACTCGAAAATCATGAAACCCGACTTCACTAACACATACACACGGTGGAGTGACAGTGTTAGTAGCGGAAGAAGAAAACAAATCACGAATGTTAGGTAATAGGTTAGCACAGAACACATAACAATGTTAGGTTAGTTCCTATTTCATGGACATCAAGAACGATGAGACAATATGAAATCATTTGGTTTCAATGATTTCAATCCATTTACGACTTCAACGATGTTTGTGACAATCATTATCATCGTGTTTTACAACCTGGAGCAGAAGTCTATCGCCTCATTGTGAAGTGAATTCTGAATATCCAATCTTAGAACTCAAAACCTCACCATTCTATTCTCTCATTGTTCTCTCTTCATTTTTGGCTCAAGTCAAGCGATTTAAAGTCGCTTCACTAAAATTATGTGATCTTGAATCCATTCAAGAGTGTGAAGCTCACATTTTTCTGGCATTGCAGCCTTTTTACTCCTCAAATTCTACGGATATGAGTCCATTTCGCTCAAGGTTTTTCTGAGCGATACCAAGTGTTTATACATTTAAGATAAGTGAGGTTTGTCTTTTGGTTCTTCTTTTAGCAGTTTTAAAGTAAATTAGGTATTACAGTACCTTCGTCCAGTTTTGTTTCCTTGTTTAATGTTTGTTAAGAGTCTTTCTACGTGAACACTCAAGGACATACATACTTACGCTCAGGTACCAATACCATTGTTTTTCTCTCACGTCAGGATGTACCTTNTAAACGGTCAAATTTAATCACCTTGAATTTCGTTTTTTTTTAACTTTTCCCGAAATTTGGGGACTTGCCAACGTAATGTTGAACTAATTTTGACCTTACTGAGATAATGTGGAGGAAAATCTAGGGGAAATTGCCTTTTTTCGCGGGAAAATTGAATGACCTTTGAATTGACGTATTTGGGGGTCCGAGCCCCCCCTTAAAATCACAGCGAAGTGATTTCTGCAATTTTTACTTAAAAGCGGACACAATTTGGTAAATTTTCTTGTTTTATTTTTTTCATTACGATAATTTGAACCGGAGTTATGATTTTTTGAAAATAGGTCAAATTTGACCTTTGACCTATCATAACTCGGTCAAAAATTAAGATATTGATCTGCAGTTTGCGCCAAAATTCTTAGTTTTTTATGCTCTATCGAATGATGTATCACAAGATAGGGGTTGCCATTTGAAAAAAATAAGTTGGGGGCCCCCCGCGCCCCCCCTGAGGGGGGACCAAAATTTTGACCCCCCCAAAAGATGGTCCCCTTTGAGATAGGAACATTTCCAAAGTTTCATTACCCTAGCTCAATTCGTTCAAAAGTTAGCAGGGGTGGGACGGACTTTTGGTACACCCTGTATGTGATCTTGAATCCCGTTCAAGAGTGTGAAGCTCACATTTTTCTGGCATTACAGCCTTTTTACTCCTCAAATTCTACGGATATGAGTTCATTTCGCTCAAGGTTTTTCTGAGCGATACCAAGTGTTTATACATTTAAGATAAGTGAGGTTTGTCTTTTGGTTCTTCTTTTAGCAGTTTTAAAGTAAATTAGGTATTACAGTACCTTCGTACAGTTTTGTTTCCTTGTTTAATGTTTGTTAAGAGTCTTTCTACTTGAACACTCAAGGACATACATACTTACGCTCAGGTACCAATACCATTGTTTTTCTCTCACGTCAGGATGTACCTTTAAGCATGCTAATTTACCAAAGAAACTCCTCCAGTGATAAATAATTTTAAGCTTTATTACGAGGTGAAAACCTCTGTGTGGTGCCGCTAAATTTCTCAGATAAGTCTCAGTTTAGACACGTAGAACAGACGTTCACTTTTGTCCGTTACGATCCCTGCTCTTATAGCTTCACATCTTACTTTGATCTCTGATTCATCGATTAATGGCACTTTTAGTTCCATACATCATCAATCAGTTCAAAGCTATCTCAACGATGAATCATCAAACGTTATATCAAGGAAGAAATTTTCTGCTGAAAGCTACGACGGAATTGACATTGCAACTCAACTTACGAAAGCATGAACCAGGACATAAGAATCTGTCTCAAAGTGAACATTTTTTTCAACTCATCAGGCAGTTTAGCAGGTAAAAAATCTACAGTTGATTAATTAAGGATTACCAGATTACATGCACACTGGTTTTCCAACATTTACGGTAGATAGGGATATTTTTATTGATAATGACTAATGACGAAACGAATATATCAATACCATGGCCAAACTGGGAAACTACTTACCGCATTCCACAAAGTTCATCCTCAAAGACTTTCAGAGTCTTTTCATTTCTCTGCTGATAAATAATTCAACATAATTTCTGAAAACTGTGTAATTAATGACTTCGATGCGCAGAAAATTCTTTTCTGGGATTTTAAGCGTAGTGGTCACTAACTTTTCCCTGATTTTGGAATGTCCTCTTTTGACATTAAGTGTCTCAGATAAAAATTCTTTTCACAAAAATTTCAAGTTTTTACTTGACTTAATTTTAAGTGTTTAGTCTCTTTAAACTGAAAAGTCCAATTTTTTTACCGGGAGAAGGAATTTCAATGCTCCGCAGCAAAACTACCTGACATATTTTCACAGTGAGGAGGGCTTAAAGTCCTAACTTTTACAGAACCTGTCACCCTGTCCATCCCTCAGAAATTCAGTGAACCAGATGAGATTCAATGAGGGTCGTTGATAACTTTACCACTAAATTGATACCGTTTAAAGGATTTGGGAGGGAGCAATTTTACCAGTGGCGTGCGGTGGGTTCCGTGACAGGGCAAGCTCTAGCGTTCGCCATCGGTGGGGGGGGGGTTAACGTAGCCTCTTTCCCTTCCCCCTTCCCCTAGCCTCCCTAGAAAATTCTTAAAATTTTACTCTATTTGCTCTATTTTTCGGATGAAATCTGATGGAACGTAACGTCTTGAAAAACTGTATTTTTATTTCTTTCTCTCTTATTTATGATTTCGTTTACTCAACTTGTTTCGAATGTTATTGAGCATTGGAGGACGGCTCCTTACTCATAACTCCTAATTTTGCCACTTATTTGAGGTATTATAGTCTTTATTCTACAGCATTTAAAATTTTTTGAGGTACTTAAATTTCCCCCCAAAAAAGGCTTTCTGCATTTAAAACATGATTGAGAATTGTCTAATTCATCACCAATTAGATCCAAGTGAGCGAAATTTTATAGAATATAAAGGCGTTTGCTCCGGAGGGACAATTACAACCGCGACGGAAAGAGGGAACAAGATAGCGCATCGGAGGCAGAAAGCAGCGCGCTGCGGTGACGGGCCAAGAGGTGGCCAAGAGAAGCGAGCTGCGATCGCGCAGCGAAGGGCTCGGACTCGGAACGTACCGCGCTCCCCGCCTGCCTTTATTCCGCCGCCGAGCAGTGGCTCTCCGCTCAGCTGATCGCAAGCGATTCTCCAGCGCATGAGTTGGCCCGTGTTCAGGCCGCGCAGCGCGCTGCGCCACCTCCATCCGCTCTGCCGCTTTCCTACTTTGGTGGCTCTATACGTATTTCTGTCTCCCTCTCTTTCTGTTTTAATGCAATTTACATACTTACTGAACGCATTTTATAAATTATATTTGCTAAAATGTAAAACATTTAATAGGTGTAATTTTCTTCTTTCTTTTGAAATCTTTAGGCAAGCAGTGCTTGCCTTGCTTATCCGGACCGCACGCCACTGAATTTTACCTACTAACATTGTTGTCGAACAGGGTTTATTCATCAGAGCCCTGAATTGAGGAACCAAGAGAAAATAATTTGTTTTCATTTACTCCTCAAAGATGATACTGACCATGATGCAGGTCAGTACCTATGAGAACTATATAGATCTCATAAAATTACAGTAAACCTTGTCGCTGGGGGAAAGATCTAATACCTACACACTGAAGATAATCATCGAATAACGTACTCTCCTAAATATAGACAAAAATTATAATGAAAATGTTCATTATTTGATGAAAAATAAAGTACAAAAATTCTAAGAGTCTCAGAGGACACCAAGGAAACCAAGAAAATCTTAAAATAATTTCCTTTCACAAACAAAAATAAAAATGACACTGAACATTTCTAGCAGGACTTCTTGATAATCAGAGAACAAAAATTCTGAGAGCTTGACACTTTTGATACTCACAATTTTTAGATTGTTACACTAATGAGGTCTGGGAAGCTGTTGAATGCCCTGATTTCCAAACTTCTATTACTCAAGCAGCACACATTTCTTTAAATTTCAATTCCATGGTAAAATTATTTCTATTGCATTGTAGTGTTGAGAATGTTGCCAATTTACTCATTGAAGGAACAATTTTTAGAGCAATTAATTTGAATAAGTACCTCCCGTAGTTGCGATTTATCATTGGATTTCTTCGTATTTCTTTTCTTTCTTCTTTTTCTTTTCTTGGGATTCTACAATCGTATTTCTTTTCAGGGATATCTACAGTTGAGTAGATTTTGATTTTTAAAACTTATCTCTTTTTAAAACTAAGAAAGGGTTGAAATAATTATCACTTACCATGTATAACTTTCTGCAAAATTTGCCTCAGTTGATGCTCTCACAAGTTCAGTTGTAAAGTCAATTCAGCCATAGCTTTCCGTAGAAAATTTCTTCTTCGATCTAACAATTAATGATTAATCGTCGAAATGGCTTTGAACTGATTAATTCAAAATGACACTCAAGGGTTTTAAAAAATTAGACGGATCCGAGAAACTTTGCTACACAGCAAGGAGATATCCACTTCATAGCTATAAGCATTAAATGGATTACATTTTGCAATTAGGAACCACTATTTCTGGTCCATTTTAGAAACAGAATACATGCTCTTGGTTTCCCTATGCAGATATGTGCTTTTATGGGAGAGCCAGAGGTAATGGTTCCTTATTGCAAAATGTAATCCAATTCATTCACAAGTGGGGGACTTCATTTGGTAAAATAACAGTTTTCTTGCAAAAATGAGATGATATAAACTCCAAAAAACCCAAAAACTTGGGTAAAGAGACTCCGGGCAAGTCACCATCCTCTTGCTAAAAACCTCCAAAAGCTCTTCTTTGTTCCCCTCTTCTGTGGAAAAAGAAAATATCACACTACGACATCTTTACAAGTAATTGTTAATGAATAATTGATGATATCCCACTATAGTGAGTCCTAGTTCTCGTTAATCAGATTCAACAAATATCCACCAGAAAATCATCCTTTCCCTCAATACGATGATGTCTGTCGGGGTCTCAATTTGTGGGGATGAAGATGTGTTTCCACTTTCTCCTAAAATTTTGCTAGGTAGCAGAACTCCTCTGGAGTTGATGTGTCTTTTCTCAGTGTATCATGCTACCGGTGCATAAAGCCTCGATGTTTTCATAGATCTGTAATGCTCTATATTGGAAACGCGGTTTACACATTCACCCGTCAGTCGTGCGTATGTGTCTACACAAAGAAGCTATGCTGCACTCCGTTAATGAAATCAACTCAATGTCACAACATCCAAGATACTTGACTTCAAACATTACTGTTAATTTGAAACCCAAAAACTTGGGTAAGAGACTCCGGGCAAGTCACCATCCTCTTGCCAAAAACCTCCAAAA